TTCTTTCCACTTTTGCGTTTGGAGATCGGAACGATGTCGTCGGGCTTGGTTCTGCAAGTCCTCGGCGCACGCCTTCGCGTAGCTATAGTCTCTCTGAACTTTTCGTCTCCACTCGTAGGCAGTCCTTTCAGGTACACTTGATGGTGTTGGACCCAATATCGCCTTCAGAGTGCTTTGTGGATCCCAGCCATGAATCCAGTAGAACGGGGTATCTAAACGTGTCGCGTCGAACGAAGTGTTTAGCGCAAACATCAACCTTTCTGCATGGTCGTCCCAGTCACTCTGGTCGGCCTGCTCGATATAGGCACGAATGCTCCTGACAACCGTTTGGACGGATCGTTACTGTTGTCCGTTCGCTTGAGGCCGGTATCCCAAAGTAGCCCTCTGGCGACTATTCAAGAGTTCTCGAAAATGAGTGAACACCTCGCTCATAAAGCGAGGATCTTGATCATGCCGAATCATCGAACTTGCTCCAAGGTTCAGGAATACTCGTTCCTCATACACCTCCGCGACAGCCTGAGCGGTGGTTGAATCCATCGGCTTGCACATCACATATCCAGAAAACATATCTTGGAATAGTAGCAAAAACGTATTTCCTCGGTCGGACTTCGGCATATGCGTCACGAAGTCCATCGAGACCACTTCGAAAGGTTGTCTGGGTTCGATATTCCCGGGCGATGGTCCGGCGTTTGGAGGTTTTCCTTTTCCACTTTTTCCACTTGCGCAATCAACGCATTCCTTCACAAAAGTGTTCTACATCCGCGTACATCCCAGGCCAATAAATTCTGAACACAATCTATTATGGGTCCTGGTGATGCCTTGGTGCCCTCCTTGAAAGTCCTCATGACCGTAATGCAAGACATCGTCCCTGAGAGCTTTTGGGACGACGAGTCGAGGTTCATCCTGGAAGTCCCGCGGACGATCACGAGTTGAGCGAGCTAGTCGGTACAACACATCTCTAGTGTCCAATACGAATAGATCAGCGACCTTGGCGATCTTCCTCAGTCTTCGGGGTGAGAACTTCTCGAAATCTTCCTTCAGAAAATCTTTTATTTCTGATAGATACTCATCTGCGTCCTGATGCACTCGGATGCGTCGCCATCGTTCAGCTTGGAATTCCAGCCTCGATTTCTCGAAATGAATTCGGCTTGGCTTCTGGACCTCGTCACTGCTGCGAGCACGCGGGCTGATTTTTTCAGTGGAGCTGACTCCGCAGCAGGCGGTGCAACGTCCCTTGACAGTGTTTCTCTAGAAGTCGCATCAACTCCAGACTTCAACTCGGAGTCCTCCACTTTCATGAGTTTCTCCGCCATCTTTGATACGTGCTTCAAATGCGCGATCTCGGCTGTATCCGTAACGTCCCATGACTCATCCAGAATCAGAGTCTTCGTAGTCAAATAATCGGCAGCCTGATTGTATTCCCGTTTCAGGTGTACCAAACGTAACGATCCGAACTTCGCTTTCAGTAGTTCAACGTTAGCAAGATGCGTTTGGAGATGGGGTTGATTGCAGTTGATCAATCCTTGAACCTGTTGAATAACGATTCGAGAATCTCCGACTGCAACTAAATCTTGTAAC